GGTTTGGCGCAGGGGATGCTGGGAGTCGCAGTCCGGGGTGGTTTTTTCATGAGGCCTGGGAGTCCGAGGCATAGACTGGCGGGGGCGGGGGCGACGCTTGGAGGGAGGCCGGGTCTGCCTCAAGCAAGCCCGGAAGGCCCGTGAGAGGCGGAGGCCTGGGCCTCCCATGCGGGGAAGGGGACGCAGCCGTGACCCGCCTCTCTTTCCCCCCCTCAGGAGGATGGGGGAGCCGTACAGGAGGAGGAGGAGGAGAGCGGCTCCCGCGGAGCAGCCCTGCCCGGCCCCGTCGCGGGTTCCCCGGGAGACGGCGGGGAAAGGCCTCGAGGCCCCTGGGCTGCATGTGGGATGAGCCCAGGGAGACCCAGGCAAAGGCGGCTGCCCGGAGGCCGATGCGGGGAGAAGGACACGAGCGAAGACCCCGACACGGGCCTGGAGGGCGGAGGGTCCCTCAGAAGACCCGGGAGGCCCCGAAGGACCCAGGAGGAAGGAAAGAGATTTCAGTGCCCGGAATGCGAAAAATCTTTCACAACAAATGGAAGTCTTAAAGTGCATCTAAACATCCACTCAAGAGATCAATCATTTAAATGCCTGGAGTGTGGAAAAAGCTTCAATTATAGGAGCAGCCTTTCTACACATCAAATAATCCACACTGGAGAAAAGCCTCATAAATGCCTGGAGTGTGGAAAGTGCTTCTCTCTGAAGCATCACCTTTATAAGCATCAAAAGACCCACTCAGGAGAGAAACCTTATAAGTGCTTGGACTGCGGAAAGAGTTTCAGTGAGAGAAGCAACCTTTCCAGACATCAAAAGATCCACTTGAGAGAGAAAGCGAATAAATGTCTGGAGGGTGGAGGGTCCTTCAGAAGACCCAGGAATCCCCAAAGGATCCAGGAGGAAGAAAAGAGATTTCAGTGCCCGGAATGCGAAAAATCCTTCAAAAGAAATGGACATCTTAAAGTGCATCTAAGCATCCACTCAAGAGATCGATCATTTAAATGCCTGGAGTGTGGGAAAAGCTTCAATTATAGGAGCAGCCTTTCTACACATCAAATAATCCACACGGGAGAAAAGCCTCATAAATGCCTGGAGTGTGGAAAGAGCTTCTATCTGAAGCATCACCTTTATAGGCATCTAATGATCCACTCAGGACAGAAAACATTTCAGTGCCTGGAATGTGAAAAATC